CAAACTAAAAATCAGCTAAATAATCAGTTCTGACCAATAAAAACGTGATCTCCTGTACAAATACTTAAAAAAACACTTTCAGCTTCTTAAGATTTGGGTTTTTAGGATATCAAGAGCAATTTTGGGGGCATGGGGTTATTACTCACTCGTTTATTACACCGACTGTGTAACATACCCTTCAGAGTGCAGTCTAAGGCGCACAGAAATCATCATGACTGAGTTGTGATATTGTCCAGGAAACCCGTCAGTTGTTTTCTGCTTTCTCTGACTCACTGAAAGAGGGATTGGTGATAGAAGCGCCTGAACCGAGCGTCCGGCTCTGACGCCGGCCCACACTCCCTCAAGCCCCTGTGTGTCTATGAGGACGGAGGGTCATGAGTGTGCGTCTCTTCGACTGACTCAAATCCCTCATGCGAGCGCTTAAAAGTGCGGCTGGCTCAAGGCGTGAGAGATACCGTTGCCGATCCTTCACTTCAGACGCAACCCTGACCTTCGTAGGGAAAAAGACAGAGGAATAAGCGGATGTTTTCACGTTTATTCTCTGTAGTCATTGTTTGCTGTCTCTTTCATCCTATGCCTGGTTGGAGCGCGGACGGTGAGGGGGAGTGCTTTCTAGTGGAAGATGGCTGTGAGGGAGTAAAGTCCAGAGAGGGGAGGGAGATGGGAGTCAGCGGAGGTTATTCTGCTCTCATGAGTCTGTTAGTGAGCGTACACCCATGCAGCTGCGCCAATTAGTCCTGCCATGCTTGAATCCCCACTCATTCACCACACACACACACACACACACACACACACACACACACACACACACACACACACACACACACACACACACACACACACACAGATCTCCTTCTAAGCTACTAAACTAACGACACACAACCTGAGACATGTGTATTGCCGTCTTGCCTGTTTGCTCTCCCTGAACGTGATGAGTCTGAGCGTGCTTGCATCTTCAGCGTGTGTGTGTGTGAGTGTGTGTTTGACAGTCTGCAGTGATGTCAGGCCCGGGCAGTAAGCGAGGCGAGTCAAGGCGAGGCAAAGCTCCCTCCCTACGATAACGCTGTCACATCGGATCAGTCAGGCTGAAGGGCGGGCGGGCGGGCAGCCGCGGCAATGACACTGCACTTCTGCTCCGGGAGACGGGATTCAGAGAGGACAAGGAAGAGCTTTGTTTTGACTTCACATGTAGCTGGATGGCATTAGCTTGCAGCTTCTTAGGTCTGAACCGCTCAATATGGCCAATGTAACAGCACAGATTCACTATTTTATTCAAATTAAGTGTGTTTATCTTTAACTGAACATTTTCAAGTATTAAATACAAAGTCAGATAATTAAAGAGTATTTAACAAAGTATTTAACTAACTATTATAAAATCTTAATAGAGAGGCACAGATAAGGGTTTAACCTCCTAAAACTGATTTTAGGTCAGATTAGTGGATTGTAATTTGGACAAATTTCATATAATATACTAAAAACTATAACATCTGAGTACAAACACAAAAGCTTATAAATGTTAATGTGGTGCTTTCACTTTTACTAGAGTACATTTTTGTCTGTTTATTTGTACTTTTTCTTAATTGCATTGTTTGAGTACTGTGTCCACCACTGGATTTGTCCAAATTGTAATCCACAGATCCAACCTAAAATTAGAATCGGTTGGTTAAGCCTTTACATCAATACTTTTTTAAAGTACCAGCTCTACTGGAAGATTATTTCACTTTGGAAAAATGTCTTGTTCCTGCTAGTGGAAAAGTACTTTTCAAAATCAATATTAAAGGGATTATTTACTTTTAAAAAGCTCCCATATTCTGCTGAAAAGCTACTTGGAAGTTAGTTTGGTCTTATTTCAAGTGTGTAAAGAGATCTCCACTAGGAACTAAAAATACCTGGTAAAACCGTGACTTTTTGCTGTGAATTTACTAATTTCTTTGCAGATTTAGCTATAAAGTAACATTTTAGTTCGACCAACATGTGTCTTCTGACCTGAAGTAATATGCTTATTTTGGAGTGGCTCAGCTAAAGTCTGTAACAATTAGGGTGATGGCAAAGAGTCAAGAATTTTGTCGGCAAAAAAAAAAGCTAAAAAGAGGCAGGTTCAGAATTATTTAAATCTAACTTCAAAGTGGAAAAGCTTTGCATTATAAGTCTTTCATGTCATTGTGGTGGAATTGTTTTCTTAGTTTTTATACAAAATTGCTTCATTGCTTACATGACCCAACTTGGGCTGTGCTGTAGCTGTCAAAGAGATGATCTGTATTTTATTCATTTTCCCTTTGGGATTGATAAAGTATTTTGAACTGAGCTCAATGTCACTTTTGACTATAAAACACTTCAGAGGAGTTCATTATCATCTCAAATCTGGAACATTTGAAGCTCCTAAGGCTACAAAACAAACTCAATTCATTGCCCGTCTTTCACTGCACTCAACACTTGGAAATGGGTGTTTTTTGAGAGAAAAGAGGCTTTTGTCTTGAACCAAATACATACTGCTTTAAAGTTTTGTTTTGTTTTTCTAATTGAACTGTCACTCATATCGGTATTTATCATACTAAATCTCTTTGGGATTATTATTTTGCACTTTCTAATGCTTTGTTGGCTATTGTTTCACCTCTTTTCCACTTGTAAATATTATTTCTCGTACTAGAATAAGAGATCTAAAATTACTAAAATATTATACCAGGTATGCAGGTGGTAGCAATTGCTCCTTTAAGGTCATTGTTAATGTTTTTTCACTGTAAACCATCACACTATCTTCAGGAATATCTTTAAGCCCCAAATAAGGTTGTTAATACACCATCTCTCCTTTTTGCAGAAACAGAAAACAAACATTGAAGAAAAAATGTCTTCTGCTCTGTTTAGAAACAAATACAAGTTGAACTTTAGACATCTTTTTAACTCGAACACACACAGACCAACATGATACTGGACTCTTCTTGCGCTTATAATGACTTTACCTTTGGTCTTGTATTGTTTTGCTTCACTTACATCAGCAAAATTAAACACATTTTCTTTTTGTTGGTTTTTGATTGGGACCCAGCAGGGTCAGAGGGGTTAAAATTGGAGTTATTTTTGGTTGAATTACTTTACGGGCTTCATGAGAGGCGCATTCTGGTGTGCGTCTGTATGTTGTGAACACAGCAGAGTCGGTGAGAACGGGCCGAGACGCTGTGTTTGTTGTGAAAGCACACTTGATCGCTGCTCTGACTGTGTGTATGGGTAAGCACCTTTCACCTGCTCCCATTCAATGACGAACTTACAGCCACGACAGCAGGAACGTCTGCAGGCGTGAAAAGGGAAACGCAAGGGTTGAGAACAGCCTCGCTCTTCTGTTAGCATTTTAACTCCGCAGTGTAACCTAATTCTTCTGACATGATTGCTGTTGCTTTTGCCAGATGTAACTGAGGCAGTGTAGGTTAAGTGGGCAGCCTCAGGCAAGGGCATGAGTGAATACAGGAGGACAGTAGAGAGTTTTTCTCTCATTGTTTAGTGTTGATGTTCTCATAAAGAGCAGCTACTGCTGCATTTTCTGTCTCTGAGTGCAGAAACTAGCATACATTCAATTCAGAAATGTATAAAAGCACGTATAAATGTTCCATTTGGATTAAGCTGGAATTTGTTTGACATTCTTTCAGTTGGCGTGCTAATTAAATTTAAACTCAGGGGAGAATATCTATTTTAAACCAAATGATGAGAACCGCAATTAAGGGAGGAGGAAAAGGCCTCCATTGTTTTAGATATAATGAAAAGGACTTTCCATACAGTATCTACCAACATTTATGAATATGTAGAACCCATCTGGGTGCGAATATCAATCAAATAGTTGTATTAATTTTACTACAATCCAGTCAGAGTTAGATTTAATTACAGTATAGTTATTGTTTAATTCCAGTTGGTAAAAAGTAATTTATTTAGTGATTCCAAGATAATTGCATTGAACCATTAACTGTGAAGTAATTCTGCAAACTGAGTGTTGCGAAGAGACAGTTTTTAATTTAACACAGAAGTACTAAACCAGAAAGATTTTCTCGTGGGTGCATGAAGATGACGCACCAATTGTTTAGAAATAAGACACAAAAACACGCCGGAAGGAACACCTTACAGAGGAAAGACAAATAAAAAGAAAACATTACTGGCTCTGTCCATGAAGGAGAAAAACAAAGAAGCGCTGAGTCACTTTCTGTGGAAAAGAAGAACAAGAAAAGCAAAGATTGCAGAAACAGAAACAAATACTTCCAGAAGAACGAATGGAAAGTTTTTAACATTTAGCTCAGATTGTTTACAAAATACAAATTCCCAAACATATTTAGAAGAAACATATTAACATCCACTTATATCCTAAAGTTGAGGCGAAGATTGTAAAGTGTGTCACATTTCTGTGCACATAAACTGTTATGGTTTTTGTCTTTCTGAGCTGCGTTGCTCTTTTTAGGATTCAAAATTCTCAATTCAGAATAAAAATGGCAGCGAATCCAACCCAATTCTTGGTATGGAAATTCAAAAATACTTTATTGATCCAAAAGGGAAATTAAGAATTGCAACTCATTAATTCAACGTCTTCAAAGTGTTATTGTGCACTGTAAAAAAAATTAAAAAACATCTCTAATTTAAGGTAAAATACCGGTTGCTGTTGTTGCCAGAATTTTACCACATTTATACAATAAATTTGGAATATTCTTACTTTACTTATACAGTAATATTCTGGTGGCATTTTACTGTAAATTAGAGATATGTTTTTTTATTTTAAAGAATAGGTTGTAATGACTTTTGGGAGGAAAGATATCTTGCTTTACAGTGAATATACATTAATGTAACTATATATTTTTAGTTATCTAAGAGGTTATGGGTTGTTGTTTTTTTTGTTTGTTTTGCTGTCAATTTTTTCAGTCACCTATCATTCTGTAGAAGAACCGTTTGACTTTCAAAACAGACGGTAATCATCTTCCTCAGAGCCTTCCTCGTTCATCCCCCAGCTCTGACCTGCTCCTCTGTCCCTGCAGGTTCACCCAGCAGTACGTCTTCCCCCAGGCGTTCCTCCAGCCAAGCCTGCTGCTGCAGTCCCACCTGAGCCCCACCGCCACAGCCCTCACCTCCCCTTACCTGGAGTACGGCTCCGCCTACAGCCCCTACACCCCATCGGGCCTGGAGCAGTACCCCTTCGTCCCCTCGCCGTCGCCCTCCACAGGCTACCTCAGCTACAGCTTCTCCCCGGGTACGCCGACGCCCGCGCTCACCGCTCCTCCCACCCCTCCAGCGGCCATCCATCCTCCCCTGGCCGCGCTGACCGCCGTGTCCGCCACGCCGCCGGCCTTCCTCCATTACCCCCTCCACCAGCCCGACCGGATGCAGTGAGCAGACCTGAGCAGCCAATCAAAACACTTCTGCTGATTGGAGTCTGGACCGGGTTTATAAAAAGGGCTTTTTGAGTGAACTCTCTTTCCTCGGTGTAACAGATAATGATCATCCTGCGTTGTCGTCAGCACACACTGTGAATGTTTTCCAGAACTGGCAGGATCTTTTAGATGCTTCTTATGGGCAGGAGGGAACGTAAAGTAGAGACAAATAGAATTCCACCTGTCTGCCATGTTGCTGCAGCTGCATTTTCTCCAAAGGTACTGCACTGAATTCTGGACTTCAGCCAATCTGAGAGCCAGGTTCTCTCTGAAACACGGGGCCTGTTCCCTCTGCTTCAAGGTTACCTTTCTGTTTGTGAGGACGATTTCTCTCTGCTCCCAACTTATCATTTTTAATACTCTCTCCTTTCAGCGACAAACAAAACAAAGTTTATTGTAGTCCCTCTTTGTTCCTGTTATCTACTGCTAGGAGGTTATAACCTGAGCATCTTCACAGAATATGCAATTAGGATTACTAAGGATGAGTAAGTACAAGGTAGGCAACACTGGCATTTCATTTTTTGTTGTTTTTCTATTCCTAGAGCATTACTCAGAGCACAACTCTGTCAGGATTTAAACACAACATTCATAAGATAATTCTTTTTACTTCTTTTGTCTTCTGGACGCATTTTTTTGTTTCTGTCATTTTATTGCCCTCCACAGCTATTAGCATTTAAAAAAATGAAGACGCTCAAGAGAAATTAAGTTGAAAAAATCCCACATTCAGAAAAAATAATTGTGCCAGATTTACTATAATCTTTATATAATATAGAATTTTTTTGTATTTTAACATTTCTTTTTAAGCTGATCTGTGTCTTTTTAGTCATATTCTACTTCTTGTGAGTTAAATATGACACAAGAAAGGAATTAATATATCTTAGCCACTCTCCAAACAGGAAGGGCGAGTAAATGGCTTCAATAATTTAAATAAGCAAAACCTAAATTATTCATATGTAAAAATGCACCAATGTTAAGCATGGTGGCGGATGTGTGATGCTGGGGGTCTGTTTATCTCATAAAAGCCTAGGGAACTTTGCTATAAGCATGAGATAACTAGCTCTTTCAAGTGTTGGGGCGTTTTAAATAAAAAAATCTGGTTTACTTCACCAGAAAACTGAAAGAGCTGAAAATATTTTTGGTCTAATTTCTAGTGCAAATATATTAGTACACTTGAAATAAGACAAACCTAATTCACAAGTAACTTTTTAGGAGCTTTTTTTAGGTCAATAATTCCATAATATTGATGAAAAAGTACTTGCTCCATTGACAGATTATTTCATATCTAATATGGGAAATTGCCATAATAAGTGAAATAATCTGCCAGTGGAACTGGAACTTTTCATCAATATTAAGGAATTATTATCTTAAAACAAGCTCCCATATCTAGGTGCAAATTACTTGTAAATTAGTTTAGTTTTATATCAAGTGTACTGATATACAATATTTACATTAGACCCAATGGAGTTGCTAAGACTTTGTATTTTTGTAGTCTGGAATCATTAAGTAACTAATTACACTGTAAAAGCAGAAAGTATTTTTTGTCTGGTTTTTAGTGCAGAAATCTTAGTGCTCTTCTAATAAAACAAGACTAATTTACAAGAAACTTTTCAGCTAGAAATAGGAGCTTTTGTTAATAACTCCTGAATATTACATTTAAAAAGTACCAGCTATAAATAAAATAATCTGCCAGTGAAAAAATACATTTTTTCCATTTTATAAGTGAAAATGTCCACGAAGTATAACTATTTAAGGAATAATTGACTTAAAACAAGCTCCAGTTTCTTGCTTTCAAGTGCACTAAGAAATTGGTCAAAATATCTGGTAAGGATATTGGTTTGCCAATATATGTGGAGGGCATTGAAATGTGTGTTTGAATGTTGGTAGTCTGTATGTGTGAATGGGACTCAGAGCGTTGCAGCATGCTGCAGAGCTCTCATCCAGCCTCTTGTACCATTGTCCAGTTTTCTTTTTTTCTTTTTGCTACTTTATATAGTCAGGTTCTTTAGCTAAGATAAAGGAGTCTTCTGGTGTGGAAGACTGTGGCACCAATGTTAGTGGTCTAAACCAAGCCATATGTCAGATTTTAAACAAATATGCAAAATAAAAATGAATGTGTGAAATGGGTGGCTCTCGGTTTCTTAGTTCTCTGGTAACTATGAGTGTTATTTACAGAAACTGTTGCAGCAGCTGAAAAATTTAAACTTGAGTTCTGTATTAACTTACAGATGTACAGCTCTGGAAATTAAGAGACCAAAGCACCTATTCCTATTGAAAACGTCCTGGTTTTCCCACCAAATATTGAGTCCTGAACTCTTCCTGAGTTAAAACAGTAGTATTGCTGTGTCTAAATTAATATGAACTTGTTTTTGTTTTATTATTATTTGAGGTCTGAAAGCTCTGCATCTTTTTAGTTATTTTGACAATTTCTCATTTTCTGCAAATAAATATTTAATTTTTGCTTTGGAATTTGGGAGATATATTGTCAGTAGTTTCCAGAATAAAAAAACAATGTTCATTTCACTCAAACATTTAGCCTACCTATGACAAGAAAAATCAAGAGAAACTGATCTTTTAAAGTGGTCTTTTCCAGAGCTGTAAATGTTATACAGCTCTGGAAATATAAAACCATTATATTAACCTATTTTGTCTCTGTTTTGAACCTAAATTTTATAGAACTTTACAGCCTTTCATTTGATTTTTGGGGAGTTACCTCTCGTTTGTACAGTAAACGTTATAAAAATGTTCTTTAATTTTCCAAATTGGTCTGGCTGTTATTTGCCTGAGAAATTATTTATCAAGACCACAGACAAACATAATATTTAAAAGAAACAAAAGGTTTGTCAATGTTTGAAATCAAACTCGAAATACTGTTTAATTTACGAGCTTTGACTGACGCCCTTTTCCAGCTGAAGATTATTTTCATCTGAATTTTGTGGCATCGACCCAAAATCGCAGCTGCTTTACGGTTAAAAAGGCCTCCTTGCTTTCTGAATATTCATTTCACATTTTCCTAAATAGTGCACCATAAACACCTCTATTTGTCTTTATTCTGTTTGAGGTCACCGAGTGCTTCTATTTACTATCTAAGGCTATTTGTGTGCTGTTTGTGCCCTCTTCTGGTCACGGTCATACATTGCAACTCAAACTCTCCCAAACATTCATGATGTCTTTATTATTTTGGTTTGTACACAAATTAAAGTGAAAAACCAACAAAGCGGCGAATAACTATACAGAAAAAGGGAAAGGAAACATGGCCTATGTTCCATATTTTTATTTTTTTTTAAATGACATGTTTCTCGATGAATAGTTTTGGTATGACAGCGTTTCCAAAGTGGAAGCTTAGTCATAGTTATCACCTCATGAAATTCGAAACCTCTTTGGATAAATTCTGTTTTTTGAGGCCGGTCCGGTGTATGTCCGGTTTTGGCTCATGGTACGATACCAAACATCTCTGGTATTGTTCAAGAGGTTTGGTATCATCATAAAGGGAAAGCTCTTGGCTTTTGTCTAAGCCAGGTTTTGAGTCTCTCTGACCAGCACAAAGGTGACTAGAGCTCATTAAACCAAACATAATGCACATTTTTGCACTATTTTCAGCTAAAGTAAATATTTCTTTTCGCAGTGTGGCATCCAGGGACATCTGGTTTCTGTTTCCTCTGTGTATTTTGGTAAAGGGAGGTGATTACAAATGAAAACTTTTCAGATTCTTATTTGTAGAAAAATTAATAAACCAGGTCTCGTTTTCCTTCCACTTCACAATTATGAACTATTTTGTCTGTCACATAAAATACATTGAAGTTTTATTTTCACACTGTTTTGAAATGTACTTCAAATGCTTAAAAGATGCAGGTTAAAAAAAAAGAAAAAAATGAGCCAAAATTTGTGTAAAGTTTAGATTTTTTATGTTTTTTTTTTTTTTTTTAATTGAAACACCGTGTGCTCCCAGTACGAATCAGATAACTAAAAGAAGATCAAATGCCTGGGATACAACATCTGTTGTGGATTATTCTGGTTCAGAACAAAAAGAAAAAGCAGATGATTTATGTAAAAATTAATAAAATAGCAAATAACTGAGACAGCAAACAGGGTGAGGGAGGAGAAATGATCATGGCATGACAAACCTAACACAGTAAATGGTACGAAACAGATGAGCGGTTATGAAAATAAAATTAAGAACAACTGGATCTGCAAACTTGATCACACAAGTAAGCACATGTACACACACTCACCTCCAAACACATGCACACACACATACACACTCTCTCTCTCGCTCTCAATCTCTTTTACTCTCTTTCTCTCTAAAACACACACACACACCTACAGATAAAATGTGGTGATTGAAATGATTGAAACCCTGTTAAAATCAAACGTTTTTTGTTTTTTTTTACATCCACATCTTGTGTCTGAAGTGCAGGAAACAAAGACAAAAAAAAAGAGAGATAAGCTCGGATGAATACTGAAAAGCAAGCCCATCTTTACTGGTCTAACGCAACCTAAAAGTAACAGCGTTCCCGTCTCTGTCATATCCAAACCCAGTTCCCGCTTTACTCCCATCTCTATCACTCCCTCTCACCTTCATCCTGCTCCCGTCTCCCACTTTCTAACACCTTTTTCCCCTCACCGCTCGGTTTGATGCGAGGCTTTCCTCACGCTTCTGCATCTTAGACGGCGGTGGAGAGTCGAGACAGTGAATAGTGCAGGCTTTGAAAAGCACAATGTCCAGGTGGAAGTGCAGAAAGAGAACTATGTGGGGGAGGGGGGGGCTTTGAGGAGTCTCGTGCGCTGAGGTTGAAGGTGGTGAACCTACATTTTAGGATACGTGAGAACATTTTGGGTTAGTCTGGTACAGAGGAGCGTGTGAAGGCATGAGGTCGAGAGGGAACAGTTGAGGTGGGTGGGGGTCAGCGTAGCTCAGGGATTTGTCCCTCGTCCCCCTCGTCCCCAAAATCGGGGAAACGGGGACCGGGGTCAGCTTATAAGGATTGTGTTTTGAGCTCGATGGGTTCCCCTCGAGTGTCCTGCTGAGTGTCGCTCTGGGGGGGTCGGCTTCCCTTCAGTGTGGCCAGGCGTTCTGAGAGACCTCTCATACGGGGGAACAGCATGAAATCGTAAAAGATGGCACCCATGGCACCGCCGATCATAGGCCCAACCCAGTAAACCTGCAGGAAATGACACGCAAGCCGTCAGAGGTTGAGCTCACAGCTGTGCAGACACATCTGTTTGTGATTACATTTTACTCATGTTCTCAATAAACAAACACTGGAAAAAACAGTGAAGCTAATAGTCACAGAAATACATGGAGTTTTGGTTAAACATCATTAATCAGAATTTACATCGATAAATCAAAATTGTTATATTGATAAATGATGCAATAAAGATATTACCCAGTGGTTGATAAAGTTTCTGAAGAGCACTGCCGGGGCAAAAGATCTGGCAGGGTTCATTCCAGCACCGGTGTAGTACATCTAAAACACAATTCATGCGTTTGTTAAAGATTGTCTATGTGAAATATTTTGCGATGCTTTTACCCTTTTCCTGCAATTCTCACCCCCATGAGATGCCCGATAGTGACAGAGAAGCCGATGGAGAGGGCTGCTGACCCCAGGCGGCCATTTCTCCTCTCATCGGTCACAGCAAAGACGCAGACAACAAGCTGGAAGGTGAGAAACACCTCCACTGTGGTGGCCATCCCCAGGCTCATGCCAGGCTGCAGCTGGAGGCAAAAAAAATAAGAGATGCAGCAAATATTTGACTCATAGGTTATTGAATATTAAGCCTTGATATTTCCATATTTACCATGTTCATTGCCATGTTGCCTCTCATGTTCCCAGGCGTGACCCCGTACAGCACTGCAGCTCCCGCCACGGCGCCCAGGCACTGCGCGAAGATGTAAAAAAAGGCACGGAAAAACGACATCTGTGAGCTGACGAGGTAGGCAAAGGTCACCGCGGGGTTGATGTGGCCGCCGCTGATGTGGCCAATGGATTGGATGAAGGTGGCGGCCGCCAGACCGAAGCACAGGGCCACATGAAGGACGTGATAAGGCCCGGTGGTCCAGCGCAAGGCTGCACCCATGCCGAAAAATACAAAGAACATGGTCCCGAAGAACTCAGCGAAGACCGCCCGCCAAAAATTCATCGACCGAAACTCCCACATGATGTCTGCTTGAAGATCTTAGCCAAGAGAAGAGAAGTGTTGGTGATTCAAGAAAAGGTAATTTACCTTTTCAGTCCTTCATGAAACAGCTAAAACAACTAAAAAAAAAAAACTCCTGTTTTAGTGTCAGCTGAAAAACAGCCGCTTTAAACGCAAATCTGGACTCTGCTGGTCTTTACCAAACTGTGCACTACGCTGGTAAAGTCAACTCAGCTGCTTGCCACCTCTCTCCACCTGTCGCAAAGACATAGGTGTGAGATGATGTGGGATGTGAGTACAGACCAAAGATGCTTAGATTCTTCAAACGTAGGTGGGCATCAATGCTAACTGGGGGATTGTAAAGCACAGACGGGGATAGAGGGATTGTCCAGTGGGACCTTTTAGCCTCTGTGAGGGAGGGAAGGGGGCCAGACGGGCGCTTTATAAAACCCCCTCCGGGGTCCCCAGGTGACGTAATAATCCCCCTATTGAGCTGAGGGTGGGAGGTGGTCAGGTACTTCAGCCCTAAACATCCTAAATCAAACTAACTTAACACCTTTTGTTGCTTCTCTTCTTACACCGCCACTAAAACCACCAAAGAACCAAAACAGATTAAATATATGTTAGAAAAAGCTAATCTAATCAGAAAAGCGAAGGATCAAGAAAGGTTATTTTTGTATATTCGGATCAGAAGCCGAGCCGAACCTCCACTGGGAGGAACAGCTGAAACTCAGAGGATGAGGCTTTCTTGAGGGCAAATGTCATCTGTTGACATATCATAACTGTCACAACGTGCAGATATAAATCCTGATGGACAAGGGCAGAAAACACACACTTGTGCACAAAGAGACATGCATGCTTTTGTGCACAAGTGCACACACACACACACACACACCCACACACACACACACACACACACACACACACACACACACACACACACATGCATGCAGATAATACAGTTGGGGCCCCACACGAAAGCGCCCAAAGCTAACAGCGCTAACACTGAAATGCCTGACCCTGTGAAACCATTGTTTGCAACAAGCAAGGGCGCTACATATGCTCAGAGACAAGACAAAAATACAAACGCAGTGAGGTTCAGGGGAATGTTTGCAGCTTCACTTTGCCGTTGCTTTAAAGACATTTAAACCATCGCTTAGGATTAAAAATGGTGACAAAATCTAAAACTTGTACTTGACTATCTGGGTTTTGGTTGATTCTGTTACAGCAAGAGACAGTTAGATGGAAAATGAACAACAGAAGCAAAAATGACCTAAAAAAATATCACACACCTAAAGATGAAATGTGATTATTGAAGTGATTGAAACCCTGTTAAAATCAAACAGTATTTAATAAAGAAAAGTAATTTGTGCAAAAAGGAAAACAAGAATGCTAACAGAGCTGCAAACCAGAAAGTCAACCAGAATCCCACCAGTAAATAACCAAAGCATTGCTGGTTTCTGTGTTTGGCAGAAGACTTTGACTGGTCACAGTGGGCTACGTGTGTGTGTGCGTGTGTGTGTGCGTGTGTGTGTGTGCGTGTGAGGGTGTGTGTGTGTGTGTGTGTGTGTGCGTGTGTGTGTGCGTGTGTGTGCGTGTGTGTGTGTTGTACAGACATGATGAGGGGGATGAGTAACATCAGAGCTGAGCAGCAGAGAGCCGTCGCTGTTCGTGTGTGCAGTGATGAATGCAGAACGCTGATCTTGTCGTTTTAACTGCCTTTTATACCTGTCAGAAAGAACACACACAATGTGGTAGATATTGTGCATTTTGTGTGTGTGTGTGTGTGTGTGCGTGTGTGTGTGTGTGTGAACTGCTGTATATAGCGTGTTGTAAAACTGCAAGCCTTTCTAAATGTGTGTGCATATGTGCAACCAGAATACATGCAGTGATAGCATTGCTCTTTTATGGCAAGAGTTTTATTTAAAGGTTTTTACAATAATTGTCAACATTAACTTGTTTTAAAGGGTCGGTCTTATGCAGTGTCCTTAAACATTTTCTCATGTAACAACCACAAACTCTTATGTATTCGTGTAACAAACCAGCCCAATTCATTTGTGAAGCAGAAGGAAAAGGATACATGTTTCTCAAATAGTTTCATGAATGAATCAAGTTCAGTTCAGATTATTTATATTTGGATCATTCATGGTGAAGTTCAGTTTGGTGGAAGGTTTTCTATCGAATCAGCAATCCCTCCTGAGCCATCATGTCGTCACTGAGTTGCATCACCTTGTTAAAACTGCAGCAATTCCTTATTCAAAGCACGTATTTATCGACTGCGGAGGTTAGCCCCCATCTTAAAATTGACTTTAAAAGAACTGGTTCCTACTTGCAGACTTTTTTTTCCACTTTGAAACCAAGTTATTAGTAAAGAATAACTTACCAATGGAAACTGGAACTTTTAAGGAATTATTGACTAAACAGTTACTTCTAAGTTAGTTTTGTCCGTCCTCGTTTGTGCGTCAATATTTGCATTAGAACCTAAGCAAAAACACCTGGCAACATGTTGCATTTTTTCAGTGCAATTTCAGCAACTGTGACTATTAGCTCTATCAGAAAGTTAAAAAGTAAAAGCAGACAATGTGTCTGGGAGAGTAAACGTAGAATCTGAGAGCAAGGTGCTCTGTTATTATGGAAAAATCTTATCTCTAATATTCACTGATGCTCGATTATTAAGGGTTTTTATGTTTTTATATGTTTTATATTTTCACAAGCAACTAGATATAAAAGGGGGGCAGTAAAGAGAATATTAAAGGCTTCCTCAGACTCTTCAGAAATAAACTAAATAATTTAACATGAAACTATAACAAGACAACTTTTTCTGCAACACAAATAACAACAAAGTCCAGTCTTGTGATGATCATAATTCCAATTGCAAAAGTGAATGAAATCAGATTTTTGGAGTCACAATTGATCATAAACGGTTCTAGTAGAAGCCTCATTTAAACAATTTATAAAGCAAAACCTCCCAAACTGTTGCATCATTTTATAAAACCAGAGATGTGATGTGTGGAAACACGGGGACGTTCTTGAGCTGTTATGCAAAGATGAATCAACAAACATTTGCAGACTTGGTAGAAACATACATCTTAAAGACTTGTAGATGTTATTGCAATAAAAGCTGGTTCTGAAACCATCTTGAAACCGCGCATCATTTTCTCTCCTCTTTACAATTACGCATTGCTTTGTGTTAGATAATGACTCAATAAAATACATAGATTTTTGTGTTTGTCATATGAAAAATATCTAGAAATAAAAACAGCTAGTATCTAACAGAAATGACATAAATATCAGTTCATACCGAGAAACAACAGTTCTTAAAGGTTTTACGAAAACAAAACATTTCCTCAGAAACTGTGCTCATACTCCCATTGTTTCCATTTTAAATTACAAAGCTTATTCTGTTCTCCCTGCTGGACCACAACAGAGGTATGGAGGTCCATTTGCCTGTGAATAGCAGGTCGTATGAGAAGAGACAGACCTGGACGGACAGTTTGAGAGCATCACTGAACCCACAGCGCAGACCAAGAGCCGCTTTAGCATTTCAAAGTGATCACAAACACGAGCTGCATCTGGAACATCAGGCTGTTATTCAGCGGGATTTCAATTAGTCCCTTTTGTATTTACATATTCTGATTATGTGAAAGAGAATACTGAACCTCGAGACAGTCGCTCCATATATGGCAAGAAAGGCAGTACTTATCCTGCCTCATATAAATGGTTTTATCTTTTTTTCTTTTTTTAATTGTGAAAATGAAAAAATCATGATTTATTTTTGCCACCTTGGAAGTTTTACGATGCTCGGCAAAAATGAGTCTCATGAAGAGAACGCTCAGGGTTTTCTTAATTTGATGTAAAATCCCTTTTTCCACCATCATCTCCATTGAAGATTTTGAAATAAAATGAAGAAAATTACGAAGAGATTGTTGGTCAACCAAAACAAGACGGTAATGGACAAATTCAAGGTTAAATTCAATAGAAAATCTGATCAACTGTCCAATAACTTCACCAAACTCTGATTCAGAACTGCACAGCATTCTGGGGGATGTAGGCAGAGGAAAACCTTTAGGCTCTCCTGTTTAGCTCACTGCTAGATAATCAAGATGGGTCAACAGTGCCACTAGTTGACCCAGCACCCACTCACCACTTTTTCTGTTAACTGCTTAAAAATATAACAAAAACTGTGGGAAAAAAACAAAAAACAAACAAACAAAAAAAACTAATCAGTAATTATCAATATTGACTGATATGAAACTCTTAGATTGTGATATGGTTTTCTTCTGTTTTAAGCGAGTTAACATAATCAGATTAATTTTTATTTATCATGCAACGATCTTCAGATCATTAGTCTGATTTGTGGGTTATTTTGGCACAGGACGTTTAAGGAGCTTAACCGTTGGTAACTCAGCTGATCACCATCGAAGCCTGACTAAACCACCGTCCGTCTTCAGTTGCTTTCCTGTTTGTTGGCATGTTTGGCTCTCAAGGCGTTCTGAGTGACTGTGGACAGAGACGAGCCAGTCATGCTGGCCGTCTCAACGATCTCAATGTCCTTGCAGGTCAAACAGGCCACCAGCTTCTGGCGAGAGGCGCTGCGGGCGAAGAAGAACTCATGGGACACTCCGGCCAGGAGAGCGCCGATAATCGGACCGAGCCAGTATACCTGCAGGTGGATGACAGATTAGCACAGTGTACCGCTCCTAAGGAGGAGCTAAAGCTGATTTTCTGTGTAAACTGAACAAGATTCGCAAATTTGTGTAATTGTGCAATCATTGTCCACACTATGCATATTAGATTGCAATAAATATTTGCTAATTATTTAAACATTTTCACTGCCTGTAGTATACTGCATGCAACCTGTTTGATTGGTAGCATGAAAGGTTAAACCAAAGAATAAAATTATAGTTACTTATTGTAAATCATTTTAAAAAAAAGGTAATATGAAGCATCTCCTCGCTGCAGAGTGAAAAGTGTTTCTTACCCAGTGATTTTCCCAGAATCCAGTGATGATGGCTGGACCCAAGGAGCGTGCCGGGTTCATACTGGCACCAGAGAAACGTGCCTGACACAGTTATTGTTGTTAATTGGTGGAGTGGCATGTTTATTTAATGGCTAACTTTTCTCAATTAAAGCAAAAACAAAGTGTAATGTAATATTTTGTATGCGATATTACAAATAATCTGAATGTGGTGTGTGAGACACCTGAGGAAAACCCCATTTGCAGTTTTTGAAAGATGGTTCTGAATACAAATGCACTCCACACTTTTCAGATTGTTTTCTAAAATATTCTGAAATTTATGCATTCTTTCCTTTCGGTTTTGTTGGTCTTTCTCTTAAAATTCAACATTTTTATGTAAACAAATATACCAGGAGTCTTTTGTTTTTTTACCCCTATTAGCACTCCAGCGGTGTGAGAAAATCCAATGGCCAGATTTCCTGGTTCTACGCTCTCTTTCCGTCTCTGCTCCTCCACTGAGAAGATGGTGAAAACCATCTGAAAGGTGCACAGGACCTCGATGCACAGAGCCTGCGCTGCATTCAAATCTGCAGGAACCTGAGTGAGATCAAGTCAGAGGAAGCATTAAGAAGAAAAGTGTGAGAAATATTTAGCAGAAACTGAGTCGCATTCTGTCAACTGACCCTGTTAACAAAGTGCTCTGCTGTGGCTTTGAGGGGCAGAGCCAGATAGAGGGCCGAGGCCCCTAAACAGGCCCCCAAACACTGAGCCACCATGTAAACGAGCGCCCGCAGAGCGTCCAGCTTCCGGGTGGCCAGCAAGGACAGCGTGACAGCCGGGTTCACCTGGTCGGACACACAGACACAAACTGCTTCTCTCCTTTCTAATGGAATCAAATTCTGCATTTTTTTGAATTTCACCTCACATCTCGACATTCACTACGAGATTTCACAAAGTGTATTTTCTATTTTATGCTTCTATATTTCTTTCAAAAACATGGTCTTATTAATGGAAAACTATATTTTCTGCTTTCTTTTTCAAACAATTTCTAGCCTGATGTTGATGATCGTTACCTTCCTAAAATGATGGCCTCAGCTATTTTTTGCCAAAAGTGATTTTAACAACAACAAAATTGATGATTTAGGTAAAAAAAAAAAGAAGAAGAAAAATCACTGTGACTTAGGTCATTATTTTAGGAAGCAATCAATAAACCAGAAGACAAAAGAGAAACTGCAATCATTTGCAAACTGGTTTACTAAACATATAATCTTCTGTTTTTACCAGCTTTTAATTCAATCACCAATTTCATCACATTCATTCAACACCCTTTTCACTGTTTGGTGGGGGAAAAAAATAAAAATCTGTTCTCTAAATGTCGCTGTACGGTGTTTACCTGCGCTCCACTTATTTCTCCAAAGCAGTGTGCCAGTGCAACAATGACCACACCCACTGCCACAGCTGGATACAAGGGGCCCCCCGGGGCCTCGCCGGGCCCCGGAACAGAGGCGCCCAGCACGGCGCTCACTAACACCAGGGTGCCAAGCAGCTCTGCTAAGATGGCACTCCAGAACTGCCGACTGCGGAGCTCCTCGGCGGAAAAAGGGCACATGAACAAAGTTAGCTTGTATTTAGTCCTATTCAATTTTTCTGATTAAAATGAATCAAAACACGAAACTAAAATGTTATTTTAGTTATTTTGAATAAAATGTTATTTGCAAACCTTACAAAGTCAGAGATTTGTAGGGTTTGCTAAAATATTAGGGAGTCTTTGAAATGTAAATATATGCAAAATTCAAGGATTTGCAAACAGGTTAATACGTCTTTCTGCTAAAAACATCCTGATTTAGGTCTCGTTTATGGCACAAGAATAAAATAATGACAAACATCTCCTAAAAAATAGGTTAACTAGGAGTGATCGATTATAAAATAATAAACAGAGAGTCACGCTGTGATCTACAGTTTTTCAACAAGATTTGATAAATCCAAAGTAAACAAAGTGTGGCCTGAGTTGTTTGGGTCATTTGTGGGGACATTTGGTTTAGTTTCCCACAGAAAAACTGAGAAAAAATAGAAAAGTGATTAAAAATTTTTGTCCACCATTGTGACAAAATAAGAACATGACTACTTAGTTTTTGCTACATGTCTGCAGTATTATGGCTATATTTTGTCTATATCTAGCCTTGTGATATAGACAAAATAATACGGTACTGAGTTTTCAGGATGCAGGACTTTCAGACCAAATGCAACGGAGAAACATTTTGCTTGTACTACAGTTGGTACTCTAGGTTCTTAAAATCAAAGATTTGACTTTAAGAAAAGAACTAAGTGCCAAAGTTTGGAATAATATAAAAATCTTTGTTAAAAAACAAACATGAATATATCAAAAACCTCAGAAAGATTTGATCAAATCAAGAGCCTGTGATCGGGAGCTTCAACATAAACTCATAAATGACAAATCACTTCCAACTAATAAAACTAAATCATCATAAAAAGCCACTTTTGTTGCAAGTGCACTTATGCAAGGGCTACTTCGTGATGACGTCTCTTTCCAGAATTATACAGAAAATGTACAACTTTCCTGTTGCTCAAATCCAAGCATTAAATGAGAATCCTCACCTCCCGCCACGTCATTTCAGATCCAGTAGACGTTTCCCTGCGGCTCCTTGTTTATCTCTGTTTCTGTGTGTGGAGCTGTGAGGGTCTGAGGGCTTTGGGGTCTCATTATCTTGAGAGCTCTTTTGATGAGAACAGCCTCCTCCCTCTCCGCCTCACGCTCTCCTTCGCCGCTGCACTCCAGGCCCTGCTCCACTTTCCTGCTGCTCACACACACACACACACACACACACACACACACACACACACACACACACACACACACACACACACACACACACACACACACACACACACACACATACAGAGAAAAGATGTCCCTTTGAGGTTGCATGTCTAATATCTTGTCCTCCAAAAAACAAATTAATCAACCTTATGTCTCCATAGAAATCTGCTTTCAAAATGTCTCAATAAATTCAATCAAAAACTTCAAAATGTGCTGCATATGAAGGTGATGTACATTCATTCTCAGTCGATACAATTTGTCAGCACTAAATCTTTCAAAAGATTGCTTCCTTATTTGTTAGCATTTTAATAAAAATATCAATAATAGTCACCTATCATAATAAACTACAATAAATATAACCCAGACAGCAGAAAATAACACTTTTGAACATTAGTTACATTCTATTTATTTACATTATATCATTACACAATTTATCTTACAATCTGTTTCATTTGCATTTTAAACATTTACAAAAGCGTATAAAAACACCCATGACTTTTTCATATATGTCACAGAACAAGACTTTGGTCACTTTTATATAAAGTTTCCTCACTTTTCCTCAGCTAAAAAACATCTAAATATATATTTTGTAATATTTTGCCTAGTTGTTTTGTGGTTGTTTAGGTGCAAATAAATCATGTGCAGAGATTAGACGTTGATATAAAAATAATTTGAAATAATTGAATATCTATTTAGTCATCCATTTTTTCCAAATAGAGATTTCTCTATCACACCGGCAGCACATAAAATCAAATGATTTCTGCTTTTTTATACACTCACAAGTCTATAAAATTGACATGGAACTGTTTCGATCTTGAGAACAGATCTCTATCTAAACCAAATGTTTGTCTTGTTATCTTCATGGCTATTTGGCTTATAATTTTGTTTCTTTTTTTCATTTCATGCCAAGAATTAATTTTCTTCAGGAAGATTTCAGATGTACACCATATAGTAAAAAGTTTGTTTTGTTTGTTGTTGTTGTTTTGTTCTTTTGTCAAACTGTGTTTGGTGTGAATCGGTCACCTAGAAACTGCCGCTCAGCATGACTTTCAAACCATAGCAGAAGGAGCCAATTAGTGAGCAGAAGTGAGGCGAGCAACAGGAACAAACCTCGCGCTTTGATTTCAAACCATCTGTTTCTCTAATATGCAGCATTTCTGTGCCAGATACGATCAATCCCTAAAACCTTTTTAATCGTTTCAAAAGGCCCGTTTTCGCCTCCCTGCGTGCTGCGTCCCTCTGATCACCATGGGGACCGTCTCTTTCATGATGCTGTTGCCATGGAGGCTTGTGAACCGCTGCATCTCTTTTCATTGTCCGCTCTTTGATATCAACACGCACTGCACTTCGATCAGATGATGCTGCAGGAACCGAGCGAAGGGGCAGAAACGACCGGTACGTGATGGTGGTGGATTTCTGCTGGTCTGCCCCATTATGTCATGGATTACCCCCTCCTCACTGTGGCAACTGTGTGACTGTTATCCCCCCTTTTGTGGCGGTAAGCCCCAAATGTGCAGCTCTGGAACCCGCTGGCGTGAGGAGTTTTCACCCAGAGTGCTGACACTGACGCTATGTTCACACACACACACACACAACACACACACACACACGAAGTGCAAACTCAGGGCTTTGTGCTATAGAGCAAAGGGAATTAATAGAAGTACTGGATATATGTTACAGACTCTGGAAATGAATGTAAGGGGGGAAGAGAAAAAAAAACGTGTTGCTTTTCCTGATTTTGATTGTAGATTCATTAGTGAGTTTGAACCTGAAGCCTCCATCACAGTCGAGCAGCTGGAAGTGACGGCAGGATGTTTCCAGCAGCATGTGCTCCAGACAGCACTTTTTATTTTCTGCAAAAAAAATATTTCATTTAAATAACAAAAAAAAGGATGCTCCCAATTATTTTATTGGACACAAATAATTGTAAAAAAAAAAAAAAAAATATATATATATATATATATATATATATATATATATATATATATATATATATATATATATATATATATATAAAATATGTGGTATTAATGAACACCGACTGTAAATAGATTATAGTCAGGTGACTAATTTCCGTCACTCGTCCGATAAATAGTTCTCCTGTGACGTCACATTTTCGGGAACCTTGTAGCCGACGGCCATCTTGGGAGGAATCGTAACTGTCATGACAGTTGCTATTACAACAATAAAAAGTTTAGAACTAGCTTCCGCCCGGTTCATATTCAACAATGTAAGTACAGAGCAACATTCAAGTCTCAAACCTTTTGACATTCTTTTTGTTCGTCTCAAAGCCATGGCTCTTCTATGCTTTGTGCTACTCTTGCCAAACAAGATGGCGGTTCTGTGGCGCAGATCACTTCCGGTTCAGACTTGTTGGAACTGTGGCGCGTTGACGTTGAAGCGTAGTAAATATTACAAAACAAAACTGCGGAATAAGAAATACTTTAATTTAGAAAATTGATATCTTTGCATACAATCAAGGCTGACATTTTAACTGGTTTTACAACTGTTTGCAAACCCATGACCAAATTATGCAATATGCTATGAGGGGTAAATCACTGCATCATAGTATAACTCACTACTTTCTAAAGTCAAATTATTTCCAGTGAAATGAAAATTAGAATAAAATTTAATTCTTCTGACAAGATTTCACTTGTTTAAAAAAAGTGAATCCAAGATAACCTCTAAATATTTAAACTTTTGCTCAATTTTTTTTTTTGTCTTGGACAAAAATACTAGAACCACTGTAAGCATTTTTTTTTTTTTTACAAAAATGAAGCGTGCGAAGGTTCGAAATCAAAGTTAAAACTCTTGTTTGGACACAATCCTGGCTTCAAAACACTTAAAACCTGCTTTCTTATTTTATCTTTATTTACTGTTTGTTTCTGGTATCTGATTGGAATTAAGGTAAAAAATTTAAAAAAAGAACCAAAGAAACAGCAGCAGAACGACTCCTCTCTACAAGATGTGTTTTTATTCAACTCACAGTACATTCTACAGATGCACACGTGTTACATCACCTTAATACAACAGAGTCCTGTAATACCTCCTCTTAAAAATGATGAATTGGTCCTAAAAATATAAAGAATCAAATTTAAAGTCACCAAAACTGTACATTATTAAAAATTCACTTAACACCACATTTGGTTGTCATGTCTTTTTTTTTTTTTTTTTTTTTTTAATACATTTTCTGAAAAAAAGAAAAGAGAAAAAAAAGTTCAGTGTAAGGAGCAAGTTTAAATAAACCCAGACTGTGGAGTCATCCTGTCACCTCCGTGGCAAACCAACCGTGCAGCGTCAGACGTTGGCCCCCAAAAAAGAAAATCAATAAAAATAAAAATAAATCAATGAAAAGGAATGTAAGACAGAGGAAGAAGGCAGAAATGCGCCCAGTATGTCAAAACTCAGCTCGAGATATTCTTTTAAAATGAAACTTCAGCCTGCTTTAAATATTTTTTATTTTTTTTAATCCGATGTATAATGAGCTAAAAACAAAATGTGAGATTTAATTTAAACCCTGCTCCAGAGCAGGGCTTGCAGCTGCGGATTTGATGCGTAAAACATGCACAGACGCTCCTAAAACCTGCAACTGCCAACAGCAAAACTTCCTCCGAGTGTCCAATCAGCACAGCCTATTTACAGGTGCGAGAACGCTTCTTGGTCACAGAACGTTTTGCTCTTCGCAGTGACGTCTACGAGTCTACAGCTGACCGAATCTAAAAACCCTCCAGCTTCTGAGGGTTTCCCACAAGAGCAGCAGGTGAGGTTGTGGGTAAAATTACGTATACACTGGTGTCGCGTGCGTGCGTGTGTGTGTGACTTTAAGTGGAGGTTATACAACATCTACTGGTGTACAGTCCAACAACAGATTCCTTTAAGTTTCACTGGCCTGTTTTTTTTTTTCCATAAAAAGTCTAAACATCTCTATTGGGTCGCCTGTACACATTCACTACGAGCTATTGCTATTAAATAATCCCAGCTATTGTAATCTTTATATATATTTATATATAGAATATATAATAAAAATATAGTGAGCCATTGAAAAAGTTACTCCTAGGCATAAGACCACGTTACATCACATTTCCAAACAACAGGTAAGAAATGCTCAGAAGGGTCTGGGTGCGTTCAGTCGTCAGGCGGCGCCGAGCAGGTCCGGGATGCGGTGACAAGGTCACACTCTGACCTTCAGTGCGAGTGTGGAGCCGGCCGAGCGACCTGATGGGACGCGACGGGGAGGAACACGAGATGAGGGGCAGAGGTGGAGAGACGGGGGAACGGCGGTAGAAAAAGATTCGACCTGTCCAGGAAACGATAACAGACAAAGAGCCAAAACCTATACATATATACCTATACATGAGATAATACAGGAGGCCGGAGCAGGACTCCAGCCAGTCTTCACAGCACTGGAGAGTGCAGCAACAGTCCACAGCGCCACCCTGAGGCCGATCCTGGCAGGATCCTACTTGTCCTTGTTGGAGTAGAACTCCGCCCAGCGGCTCTCGAAGAAGCGCCTCATGGAGTGCCCCGCCATGCCCACCTCCGATGTGTCCTCGTTGAATAGCTCACAGTTGTTGAAGACCAGCTGAGCGTCGGCCGCAAACTCATCGCAGCTGCAATAACTGGAGAGGAGAAGAAGAGAGGAGGGTGAGGCGTAAACCAGGAAGTTACAAGAAAATCCTTCGTGTTCGAGGATTAGTATCATTTTGGAAGAGCTACATACTCTGTGGCACATTTCAGTTAGAATATGGTCATCTAGGGATGGAGCATTCAATTTGAAAGTGATGAACTGATTACTGAAATAATCCTCAACTAACTTAGTTTATCGATTAATACTGGAACATACAGACGAAAATAAAAAAGGCAATTAGCTGAAAAATCAACACAATCAAAGCAGTAATCAAATCAAAACAGTACAAAACATATGTACATTTTGCAGATTACCCACCCGAATTAACAGATTAATTTGTTTGAAGGCAAATGGAGCAT